AGCAGCAGCAGCAGCAGCAGCAACAGCTGTGCTGCTCAGAGCAACGACAGCAACGCTGCGGCTGCGGTACTGCAGCAGCAAAAGCAGCGGCAGCAGCAGCAGCAGCAGCAGCAAATCCTCTTTTTTGTATTGCTACGGTGTGCACATTTTGTAGCAACATGTAAGCAGTAGCTGCAGGAGCACTCAGGCAGCAGCAGCAGCAGCAACAGCAAACAGAGCAGCAGCGCAACAGCAGCAGGAGGGGCAGCAACAGCAGCAGTAGTGCAGCATCAAATTCTGCTTCCTGCTCCACTGAAAGGTGTGCGATTGCGACAGCTTATATGCTGCTGCAGTTGTTACTGCTGCTGCTGCTGCTGCTGCTGCATCTGTTCTTACAGGCTGCAGGGGAAGTGGAGAAGCAGCACAGGAGAAGCTGCTGCGATGCATCGACACGCTGCAGAGGTGAGCAGCAGCAACAGCAGCAGCAACAGCAGCAGGAAGAATGCAGAAGCAGCGAAACCACCACAGCAGCAGCAAGCCCAACACAGGAGTATCGACCCCTTCCTGCACTGCAGCAAAAGCAACTGCCAAGCCCCCGCTGCTGCTGCTGTTGCTGCTGCTGCTTCTGCTGCTGCTGCTACAGGGCTGTGGATTTGCTGCTGCAGGAGCTGCAGGCAGAGAATGTCTTGGCGGGGCCGAAGGCAGTTGCTGCTTTTGTGCAGCAACACTTGCTGCAGGTGCAGCAGCAGCAGCAGCTGCTGCTCCACTTGCACATAGAATGCTGCAGCAGCAGCTGCTGCATTTTGTATCTCCTTTTGCTTCACATTCAGCTTCAGTGTCTTCTGTCTTGTCTGTTTTTCCCTTTTTGTTTTTTTAATTTTAATTTATTTCTCTTGTATCAATATTTCTTTTGCCTTTTTAATTGTAATTTTTTCCTTTTTTCTTTTGTTTTTTTGCTGCTCTTTAGGTAGTTGAAGTCCTCAGGCTCTGCCTCGTGGCCCCCAGCAGCAGCAGCAGCAGCAGCAGCAGCGCAGCAGCAGCAGCGCTGCTCTACCGCCGCAGCTTCCTCCGCTTGTTCGTTCCTCCTGTGTCCCTTCAGCTGCTGCTGCGTGCCTTCCAGCAGCAGCAGCAGCAGCACCCGCTGCTGCTGCAGCTGCCAGCAGCAAATAGAGGGGTTGCCGCAAGTGTTGCTGCTGTTAAGACGCTGCAGCTGCTGCTCAATGTTGCAGGCAGCGAGCTTGTAGAGACGCGTACAGAGAAGGTCTGCTGCTGCTTCTGCTGCTGCTGCTATTGCTGTTGTTGTTGGTGCTTCCTGTGTTGCTGTTGCTGCGCTGTGTGCTGCTGATGCTGTTCTACTCACTGCGTGCTGCTGCCCTTTCTGCGGTTCCAACTGCACGTGCCGCGCTGCCTCTCAGCTGCTGCTGTTGCTGCTGCTGCTGCTTGTGCTGCTGCTGCTGTGTCTGTCCAGCTGCTGGGGTTTCTCGATTGCTGCAGAGAAGCGACGCAGCACTCAGTCTCTGTGCTGCGGTGTATGTCCAGCTGCGCTGCTGCCTTTTCTCCTTCCTCTTTGCTGCGGTTCCTGCCTTACTTGCTGCAGCAGCTGCAGCAGTACGCCTTGCATGCAAAGCAGCAGCTCCGCCGCTGCAGCAGCAGCAGCAGCTGCAGCAGCAACAGCAGCAGCAGCGGAGGGAGCAGCAGCGCAGCACAGTGCTGCTGCAGCAGCTGTGCAGCGTCGCAGGAAATTTGCAGCGAGGTCTGGAGGCTTCTGCTGCTGCTGCTGTCAAAAGCTCAAGATGCTGCAGCAGCTGACGAGCAGCAGCTGCCGCTGCTTTGTGCTGCTTTCGCCTGCACGCCAGTGCTGCCTCCAGTGCAGCAGCTGCTGCCCTGCGACCCTGCAGCAGCAGCAGCAGCAGCGACGCAGCAGTGCAGCAGCAGCACCAGCAGCCTCGTGTCGCAGCAGCAGCACACGGGGCTGCTGCGGTTGCTGCAGTTCTTTTGCCTACTGCCTGCATTTCTGCTCGAGGGGCAGCAGCAGCAGCACATCATCAGCAGCAGCTGCAGCAGCAGCACGAGCTGCTGCCCCGATTCTTCATCTTGGCAGCTGGAGGACTTGCAGCAGCAGCTGCAGCAGCAGCGAAGCGACTACCTGCATGCGCAGCAGCAGCTTCCGCTGCTGCTTCTGCGCTGCTGCGCCGTGGGGGCCTTCCTCAGCAACACCTTTCCTTACTTGACACGTTTTGCTGCAGCAAAATGTTTGTTACAGATTGTACGGTGCTGCAGCGTGCCGCTGCTGCTGCAGCAGCAGCAGCAGTTGTTGTTGCTCCACCAGCAGCAACAGCAGCAAACGTCGTTGCTGCCTTCCCAGGAGATGCAGGAGCAGCAGCAGCAGCAGCTGCTGCTGCAGCAGCTGCTGTCAGCCCTTGCTGTTAGTGTGCAGGGAGTCATCGCAGAGTTCGCGCACTCTGTAGACCCTCTGCCACTTTGCTGCTGCCAGGTGCTAGGCCACCTTGAGCCTTTCTGC